TATAGAAGTGAGGGTCTCACCAGGGTCTATCTGACTAGCAAACCTCGTCTTTTTTTTTTTTTTTTTTTAAAATGATACTGAGTTTTGTTCTATATTGTTCTCCTACTATATCCAGGATCTCCTGCACTGATCCCCCTCCAAGTGGTTGACAGTGGTAGCTGGGCACCATTTAGTTCTTCTGGTCCCATGGTTATATAGGCTGAGGACTGCATGGTCTACTAGTCCCCTGGACTAATTGTTTCTATCCATCTTGGGTTTTCTTTATTCTTCTTTGCTCTGGACGAGGAGAGACCCAGTGTTGTATCTAGATGGCCGCTTGCAAGCTTTTAAGATGCCAGTCGCTACTCACCAAAGTAGGATGTACATTTGTTCTTCAAAAATATATTATATCCAGCATTTTTAGTTTTTACAGGGGAAAAAAAGATGATGACAATCCAGTCTTCTTTACTGTTAGAGTTCCTGGAATATAATCTCACACTACCAATCAAGAAATATAGCTTTTCCCCACTATTCCCTGAGACCAGTGCTACCCAAAAGGAGTACAGGCACTCCTGAGTGGGAATGGCAAAATGATCCATTGGAATACAAAAGGTAAATTTTACAGTTTATATTTATGTTGACTTCTTAAGAGAGAAATGAAATTCATACACAGTCTGATATACTGGTAATATGTTTGAGATATGATATACTCAGTTTTTATGTTGGGCAGCCTCACTAGATACATGATACTAGAGGTTTCTTGAGGGAAAACAAGGGGTGTTCCTCACTTGGAGGTGGGGTGTGGGGATGTGTAATGGTGGTACCTTTTCTCTCTACTCCCTTTCAGTATATTGTGATGAGTGTATAATTCAATAATCTTATCTGCATAATTAAGTAAGTTTATGGATGATAATATCTAGTTCCAACTAAAATAAACTGGAAAGAAAATTATAAAATTCATGCAAGGAAATGATGGATCAAAGACAATACTAATAACTAACCAACCAACATGAATATGGCAAATTATGACACATCTTGTTTCCAGAATGAGCTCTTCTGAGGATATGCATGTCATTCATTTTACATTAAATATATACACACATGCATGCTAAAAAATGTTCTAATGATGAATAACATACTAAAAAATACTTGGTGACTTCTGCTCTAGACAGCCAAGTTAGCCCAGTTCTCAGAAGCTGACCACGCCCAGTGGCTTAAAAACTAAACTGCATACATTCAACTGGTGTCCCAGGAATGAGTCTAATTAGAACCTGAGCTCCAAAATAAAAACACTGGTGGGATACTGGCCAATGACAGGCTTCTTTTTTAGAGGTCTATAAAACTTACTGCTGTGAGGTAGTAGTTCTCAGTTTTCTGCTAAGTTACACATGAAGGATGACATTAACATGGGTGGTATCTGCCCACGGGGATGCACAAAGATTTGAATGAGACCACCTTGATTTTTTTTAAAAAACAGGACAGTAAAACAAATAGTGCTGCAGACTATTTTTAAGGTAGAATGTATCCATAAAAATCATTTAACAAGAGCATGTGTGATGAAGCCAGTGCTTAAAAAGTCACAACAGCTGTGGCATAGATAAGATAGACTGTGGTTATGTGGTAGCTTTAACTCCACTTCTTCTCTTCCACTCAAGAAAGCAAGCAAGAAAAAAAAAAAGAAAGTGGAAATTATTATAGAACATTTGGAAGCTACCCAAATAAATTTTAGAAAGTTTAAATTTCAGTAAGTTAACTATTTTTAGTAATAAATCACTGGGGACACTCAACACAAAGGACAGGAAATAAGACAATATCATAACATCATGGTCTAAGAAGTGCTCCTTATAGTCTGAATCAGTCACTATTTTATCTGAATTGGCTATAGGTATAACCTTCTGGGGTAGCTAGTGCTCCAGACTTTTCGCCATAAGCAGCCGTAAGCAGCCTCCTTGACAAACATGATCACATTCTACATGTGCCACAAGCAGGGGTTTGCTGGCAGCCTATAGTTTGTGGCCAGTGAGTGAAGAATGATTTTTATCTTTTTAAGAGACTGAAAAAAATATAAAATAAGTATTTTATGACATGAAAGAACTTTACAAAATTCAAATTTCAGTATTCATACATAACTAAAGCTTTGCTGGAACACAGCCACAATCGCTGCTTTACATATTATCTATGGCTGTTTTTCCTCTACTATGGCAGAGTTCAGCAGCTGTGACAGAGACTCAATGGTCCACAAACCTATACAATATTTGCTATCTGGCTCTTTACAGACAAAGTCGGTTGATCTCTACCTTAGAGAACCTTATTAAAACCAGGAGGAACGTGATCAGTTAACAGATTTGGGTTTAGGGTGATTTAAGCAGGTCAGTGATAGGACAACATGGAATATCTCTGCACACAAAGGTACTCTCCCACCCTTGGCAGTTACCGTGAGTTAGTGGTAGTAAGTAATCAAAGCATGCACCAAAGGACTAAAATAAAAAATAATCAGACAAGGGATTGCTGGGTACCTTTAGAGTTAAGGCTACAATACAGTTTTGATGATGACATAGACTTTGGGACAGTAGTGTTTTACGGACAAAAGAATAGAATATTTGAAACTGGAGCTGTCTGAAAAAATTTAAAAACTGGTTGCATGTCATATATATATATTAAGAACTTAATTCTTTGGTACCATTTAAAGAAAATTATGAAAAGTGCTAGCTACTACTCCATATAAATGAGGAACAGATAAGGGGTGAGACAGACATGAAACTAGAAATGAACTTTTTGAGCCAAAAGAGTTGAGCTTATGAGAGGCAGAAGCATGCGGCTTACTTGCACAAGTATAGGCATCTTTGGTGGTAAACGGCTTCATACACTGGCTACAGTTGATGGGACCCACAATAGGAATGGAACTGAAGGTGTGTCCATTGACAGTCTTCTTGTCCTTCTCCTTCTCTTTAGAATCTTTCTCCTTCTCCTTAACTTTCTCTTTCTCTTTTTCCTTTTCCTGTCGATGAAAAGAAATCAATAGTTAATTGAACATGAGAAGGTCTTTCCCTCACCTGGGCCTCAAAATGGCATGTGGTCAATAGCTGTTGGTGAGTGTTTTGCACAAAAGTAAGTAACACTGTCTAAACCAAAAAGTTTTTATTAGGTTGCAAGCATGTAAGCTACATCAATAAAAGTATATGAAAACTGGACAGGTTAAAACAGTTTTGCCGTGGGTCATGGACGTGGTTATTTATACTGAAAAACATACTGTCCACGACCCAACATGAGAAAGAAACTTCTGGCATTGCAGAAGGCACCTGGAGTGGCCATGGATCTTTCTCAGTAAGTCACAGCATAGCTCGCAAAGCAAGCAACAAGTACACGGCTGGTTCCAGGCAGGGAGAAGAATGGAGGGTAGCCATTCTGGGAATAGCTTGAGGAAGGACAACTGGGTGGCCCCAAAAAATTACCCTGAGGTTCCCTCTCTGACTTTCTAATGCCAATTACATACCCCGAAGTGAGGGGACACCTTGCTTCCTCCTTTACTCTCACCAGATGTATTAAATATCCTCCATGTATATGTTTTCGGTTCTTACTAGTTAAAGAGTTTCAAGATTGATGGATATCAACTTTACCTAATTTTCAAAATGGGCAGAGAATGTAGATGAGAGGAGCAGGCTGGGAAATCACACTAAGAATATGGACAATGGTGTCAGACCCGACTACTTATTAATGATCGACCTTGGGGAAGTCAGTCACATTCTCCAAGCTTCACTTTGCTCACTTGTAGAATGGGGATGATAAGAGATATTTATTTCACATTTTTTTGGAAGAATTAAATGGAATAATACACTTAAAACATACAGTAAGTACATAACACTTGGTGATAATTTCTATAATAATTATTCATAACTAGATGAAAATAAGTTCCATTTGTTGATTACTCCCCTAATCCAACACAGAAATGTAGTGTTTGCAGTGGGGAAAGGGAAATTTTTATGGAACTTCTTACCATGGGATGGTAAGGAAACTGGGGAAAAGAAAAGGACAACAGGGAGGACCGGATAGATATGCAGAGGATGTGAGACAGAAACCTTGATAATAATTTTCCCCTAAACCATTTTCTTTATATCCCCTCAAGCTAGTTAACAGAGGATTCACTTCCTTCAGAAAAATGGGATCCCACAGGAGGGTAAGACCCAAGGCGTATCTGTTTACTGCCCTGAGGATGTAGGGGGCAAGAGGACTGCCCTGAGGATGTAAGACAGAAGGCAGCAAGCAAACCAACTCTAGTTTGGAGAGACAAGATACATCCAGATCAGTCCTCTGACTTCCTTTGAGAAGTTCCCTTTCCCTCCACGTGCCTCCCTCAGAGAGGGAGCAGGAAATTGAATTCATCAAATGTTTACTATGTGCCCAGCCACTTTGCTACGTGCTTCCCGCTGACTGAGCAAACTGGAACTGGGCCAGGTATGAAGCTCAGGGTAAAGAGGTAAACGAAAGATCAGATTGGGTGAGAAGCGAAGGCGGGGCACTGGACTAGGAGTCAGGTGTTCTGATAGTAAAATATTTTGGCTATATTACCTCATAACACTACAGGAATGCTAGAAATGCTTTAGGGACAGATAGAAAGCACATGGACTTTCATATGACATCACGCCTCAATCTCAGAGGGGTTATTACCAAAACTTATACAGGCAATCATGAAGATATATTTTTTTAAACCTGTAAGACTTGAAGAAATACTGATTGATGACGACTAGATTCTTAGTAAAGTATTTAAAGCAGCCAGGGACATTTCGGGTGTACCCTACTTTTGAGAGGGTAGGACTGTAGGGTATAACTATGCTCTGTATAAAAGGTCCTTAGAAGCACTGTGGTATCAATTGAATTTTTTTTTTTAACTGACTAGAAAGGTTTAGGTTTGGGGAAGTACAATTCACAGAGGTAGGAGTTTCACCTAGTGCCATATACTACTATTGTAATCTAAGAAAATTCCTGGAAACGGGAACCCCACAGTTAGTGATCACCACAAGCACTAAATGCCTTACATTATGACTCAATCCCTTATACATATACATTAAAGAATTCAAAGTGGGCAGGGTAGGCATTATGATTCCTGGTTTACAGCTGAGAGGTAAATAATAGCTAATATTGTGACAGTTACTATGTGCTGAGCTCTGTGGTAAGTGATGTATTTTCTCACAATAACCTTTGAAATAAGGACTAGCTATTATTTCCATCTGCATCTGAGGAGATCCAGGCTTAGAGATGATAAATCATGGACATGAGGCCACACACCAGTCACTGCTTTAGCTGAGATTAAGACGCAGGGGTGGTAAATTCTAAAGCTCAGCTCTCACTCACTGCATCACACTGCTGAGAGCTGGAGAGGTCTGTTAACTTGCAAAAGGGCACACAGCAGATGGTCAGAACAGGTAAAATTAGAACCCAGGTCTCTTGATCTCTTATTTAAAACCTTTCCCACTACACTTACATAGTAAATATTTGCTATGGCTAGGGTTCAGTGGTAAATATTTGCTAAGGCTAGGGTTCATGTTAAATCTGTTGTTAAAACATCCTATATAATGAAACTCTAAGGGCCGAGCTGCTGTAGTTTGGAGCCGTAAGAATAAGCAAAGGAGAGGGAAAAACAAACTACTTCACTTTACAAAACAGGAAACTGTTCTGAATGTAAATGAGTAACCTGTAAAGTACAGGAAACCCTAATAAAAATAGCAAAAACTAAATTTCTTCGAATAATTTCCTTTTAATTAAATGTTACAGAAGGTTCCTCCATACATAAAAATGTTAAACAAAGAAGCATCCAATTTTTGCTCAAGAAAGCTAACGCATCCTCTAATAGTTAAGGAAAATCTGTTGTGAAAAATAGTTTATTCTCTCAAGCCTTGCAATACTTTTCAAATCTGAATAAAACTAAGTAATTTACTCATCTTTTGCAACAATCTAAATTAGTTTTTCGAAGGATAAAAATAAAACAAAACAATAAACTTCATTGTCTCTTTTTATGATTTATTAGAAATTAGTCTTTAAAGAAATCAGCTCTTACCTCCCCATGTTTTGGTCCTATGAATCTCACTGTTATGAGGGGTGCTTCATGAAATCGACCCCATTTTACCGACATGATTTGACCCCCATGCCAGGAAATGTGCTCTCGCAGAAGGAGGGGCTCATGCCGGCAGGGCAGAGCTCAGCAGCTTTAAGCTGCCATTAGAGAAAACATAAGAGGAAGCCAGAGACTGGTTGAGAAAGGGAAGGAGGGAGGGCTGAGGCTGCTTGTTTCCTTCAGACAGTCTTAACTATTTGAATGCTGTTGGTAAAGCCAACTACCCTAGTTACAAAGCACACAGGATATGAAACAAAACTAATTCCCCAAAACACAGTGTTTATGGACAGTGCTTAAGCTATAATATGGGAGCTCTGATGAGGACTGAGGCCAATTTCTAACACTAGAAGTTAACCAACAACAACTCTATTTAAAAACAGACTCCTCATTTTATAAAAAACAATGAGTTTCCTAAGAAAACTTTTCAGTGAGGTTGCTGTAGTAAGGTGGTATCTGGCTATTTCTGATGCTGACTTGTCTGTTTAGCAATTGCCAAAGCACTTTATCTGTGCTGGGGAAATAGAAGTGAAAAGTATGTAAAGGGAAAGACACAGGAAATAACTACACTGGGATACTAAAGAAGAATATGATTTTTTATCACTTTCTTAAAGCTTCCCGAGGAAACTCTATAGGGCAGTTCCACTCTGTCTTACAGGGTCACGATGAGTCTGGACAGACTCAACAGAACACAACAGCAAACCTACTTCTGCTGACAAGTAATTACAAGGAAAAAAAAAATCAGAGAACACTCTGGACAACTGTGAAAACATACTACGATTAAGCAATTGTCACACAGCAGAACTGTAATAAAAGAAGGAATGAGAGAAATAATTATACTTAACACTGCCCTAAGCCTTTGTAGGGAGCTCTGGTAGCGTAGTGCCTAAGGCACTTGACTGCTAACCAGAAGGCTGGTGGTTCAAACCCACCAGTCACTCCTCGTAAGGAAGATGGAGCAATCTACTTCCATAGTGATACTGCCTCGGAA